AATTTATCAAAGCTGCAGTTGTTGTGAGTAATTATTACTGTTTCTGATAAACTAGAAGACAAATCATTGTTTTAGTAAAATCTCTTTGGTAATATTAAAAATTTTTCCAATTAGATACTTAAGATCAAATAAAATCCAATCCATACAACCATATGCCTTCTCCGGCCTGAAAAATATTACCGAAATGTGAGAATATTATTTTTAATTGCATATATATATAGAAAATAACCCAGACTTTAGTTATTTTGATTCAGATTTGCATTCATAGGTTCGTACGAATAGTTATAGATTCGCAGTCTATATATATTGCATATATTGTAGATATTAGCTGGTGTTTTAGAAACTGCCGTATCTAAAATATGTTTTGTTATTAAAATATGTTAGTTTATATTCTTTTTACAAAAGAATAAATCGAAAAATATTAGTACCTGATAATTTCTATGAAGTGCCATAGATTAGCTTTACAAATGAAACCTTTTCCTTAAATTTTGTAAATTTTCTAATTGAAAGTGTGATTATTGTTCAGCTGTATAAGTTAGCATTCAGTAGTGTTTTTAGAAATTGTGCTATTTGTGTTAGTTAAGAGATTTGCTAAATTTTAATAACTCAAATTTCGATTTTTTGGATTGCGAGCCTAAGAGATTGTAAACCCCAAACAGTACATTTTTATGGCATCCTAGTAAATATTTCAATTACCAATATAAAACTTCTCATGTTTCTCAACATTTTTGTTTTGTTACAACGTGTAGTTGGCTTGATGGAAATCTTTTTCACTATCTAACAGATCTTTCTCTAGATACTTTTAAATCTTTACAACACTAGTAAGTAGAATATAAGCACTTGGAGGCATTTTACGAAAAAGCTAAATTTCGTAACACACACCCTTCTAAAAGATGTAGACTATATATTGGTAAAAGAAATAATATTTTTCTTGATTTATGATATAATAGCGGATTATCCAAAAATAAAATACGAAAAGTCAATATGGCCTGTTCATCTAATATTACCTACAACATTTCCAAAATGTGAGTTACAATTATTAACATTGAACTATCCTAGATGTCACAATGCAACAAAAAATCCTGTATCGTACATATCGTAAAGTATTTTATCCAATCTGTTTCCGTATTAATTCAATAATTAATTTATAATAAACCGGTTGTTTGAAAACTCGAAAAATCTTATTTGTGCAGAGGAAGAAAGCATTGAATATTAATTTATTCTCATAACTATATTATAATTTATCATCTTATGGTAGCCATTTATATTTACGTCACTCTATTTTACTAATTGTTTTTCATACAATATAATATAGCCAACTACCGAAAGATATAGAATTTATATCTGAAATGCATTTGATTTAAATTATTAACTTAGGGAACTTTCCAATAATTTAATCCATACGTTTAAAGTATTTGGATGTTTTCAACACTTGAAAAAAATGTAATTCGACTTATATTATAAAATACAAGTAGATAAAACAAACAGAAAATTGATTACATTACAGTCGTGATCAGCCAAGAAGTGAATTTCCATATACTTTATTTTCTAACTGTTTTAAAATGCAATCGAAATATTACAGTAATACAACGACTAAAATCTTTTTAGCAATATCTCTAGCAACAAATTAATTAGTGCCTCCAGTCTTTCTTTCCAAAATCTTCCTGCCATTTCTTCTATGTAAGTTAATACTTTGCATAAGTGAACTCAAGTGAACTCTTGTGAGATATACGTGCATCATAATGTAAAAATCGGAATGCTACCAAGTGTCCTCTCACTAGCTCTTAAGGCTTACAAACTTGAATAAGCTATTGTAGATTACATCAAGTAATACTCAGAATACGATAAATCCATGCAATGATTCTTTAAGTTGTATAATTTAATCCAAATGAGATAGAGACGCTACCATATCTATCTTTCTAAAGCATTTATATAGATGTAATCACTTAAATGTTGATAATCTTAATGTTTAGCGATGTTAGCATGAACAGAATCACTAGGCTCACAACCGAACTTTTTCCATCATTTCAAAATTTCACGATGCTCTCTACGTTGTATGTATTTCGTCTTGGTGTAATTATAGTAGAGCAGTAATAGAATAAATTTTACTCATTCACATAACATCTTTCTTTTCTTTTGAATTATAGCAATATAAATGACAACCGACTAGAGTATATTAAGCCGAATACATTTAATTCAACAATTAACTTGAAGGAACTGTAAGAAACGATAGATTAGCAAGACTACGGAATAGACTATCAGTATTGCGACGATAATTCATAAATTATCTTCTTATTGCCAGTGTCATTACTGCTTTCGTAAATTAATCAACTGTAGCAATTATTTTAGTCCAATCAATTAAACTTCTAAATTATTAAGTGCATATGCAAACCGTTCCGTAATCAAAATAATATTAACAATATTAAAATACAATTATCACCAACATATCGACAAATCTCCAAATATCATGTTTTTTCATAAGGAATATTCGAAACAATCGAATCGATACTCTGGACTTTATTCAGCCACTGCATAAACTGAATATATTGTAAGTCAAATGAATATTCTCCTAATTGAAGTAATGAAATACGTACCGGTAATGAGCTAAGCGAAACTAAAATTATCTGATTTAACTAGATTATTACATAAATATAGAACTGTATCTTGATGAATAGGTGCTTATGATAAAATTCATTTCGTATTCAGAATTTAAATTTAAATTCCTTAACTTTATATCTTACTTAGGTATGCCTCCAACAATCGAATTAGAGATCTGAAAAATAGCTATTTTAATAATTCTTGCAAAATCGTCATATTGTAAGAATTGAAAAAATTTAAACCAAATCAAACATTGAAGAGCGCATAATCGTTATTAAGGCATTGTACATACCATGTGTAATCTATTACAAGGCACCTGAGTTTCAATCTAATAGAAATTCTTGAAGATAGCTTATTTAGCGAATGCTCGAGTTTAAAACACTTGTGAGTGGCTATAACATTGATGATTCTACAATTGCCAGCATACTTCAGATACATCGATAATATAATGTGTATATTTATAGCAGCAAATCGTTCCTGTATCCTTCTTTATAAATCTAATTCATTTATTAATTTACTATTAGAAAATTGGATCATAACAAAATATCAATGGTTGCAAGTCAGGCATTCATCAAATTATCACAATTATCTTCACTGTATACAAATTATTTTTTAAGACCTAGCGTAGAGGACGTCGAGACCAAACAAGCAATTTAATAATATTTTAATGTTTCAGTGATATCAGCTTTAACCAAATCATTTCCTTGAATGGAACACTTTCTACGGATTTAGAGAATTTAAGGTTTTTGTAAGTCATTGTTTTAACATGTTACCAGTTTTCGTAGTTTCCTTTCCATACCGTTTACAAAGTTTCCGGTAGAGAATCTTTACGTATACAAAGCCTTACTGTTATAAATTGATAGTCCAACCATAACATATATGAATGCTAATATTAATAACTACAATCTCGACTTTCATCTACTTGTCTGTACATATAAATTGATATCTTAGAAATTGCCGTGGAAATCGAATTTCTACTATAGCTGAGGCGCCATTTAAAAATTTAACTAAACTCCAATCTATGTATGCTAATTCATATTCTATTACAATATTATATAATTGCATTTAATCCATTACTTAAATCTAAATAACTCTTTAATTAACGTTGGCTTGATTATTAAATTATAGATATTTAGATGAAAACAGAATAACAGAGATTTCCAACGACAGTTTTGTAACATTATTAAATTTACAGTTACTGTAAGTGAATAAATAGACTATGTATAAAGTAGGCAGAAGCAGATAAAAGCAAGATAACACTCTCGCTATCCCATTCATTTTCTGATATCTTACCGATATCTTGGTCTTTGTATATTCTCTTTATAATATTAGGTCATTGAACCGCAATAAACTTACCAGTTTAAACTGCATCTCAATTTATCTAACTATTATAGATTTGTAAGTATTATTATAATACTTAATCATGCCAATCTATCCAAATACATTTAATTGCAGATTAGCAATTCATATTGATAATATCTTAAAAAGGTGTACAAATATTCATTGCTAAAGATTTGGAATCTATGAGTATATAATATAAACACAAATTTTATTTATCATGGCGCTTATCTTGATTCAATAACGCGATATTGTAACCACGACACTAAACTAATTCTGCAAAATACTAAATTGCTGGTGTGCTTGATACGTAGACATAGGCGTAGATATGCAGTATTATATCATATAGTTGTAATGCGGCACTAGAAACTGACATATGTCAACAGATATTACACGTATCTATTTAATTCATTCTGTTAAATTTAGGAGGATAAACAATAATAACATCTCCTACATTGCACAAAATTGTGAAAGATTATTTGGAAATATCAATCATAAATTGTAAGTAAATTTTATCAGTAAATCAACAGTCAACAACGTACCAAAGAACTCCCAATATTACAGCATTTATTCATCCAGCAATAAGTTAGAATCAAAAATTTACAAACAGCTTCATAACAAGAGCTACGTTAAAGCGATTCCTAAATTTTCTATATTCTCTGGGATCTATTAAATAATTAATTACACACAAAGAACTTAGACGTCTTTGCTTCTACGTTAAACGACTAGAGAATTAATTTTATTCAATTGTATACTAGGTTTATATACGGTACACTTCGGCAGCATCTAATAACAATACTTTATCTTAATATTTCAACGGTAAAGTTTCACTTAATTTATCAACCAAATTAGTACAGCCATATTAATAGTCATGGACATCTAGCGACTAATTCCAGATAACTTTGTTATAAATCTAAAATTGCAACAATGAAAAAAGGGAACTATGACGAAAACTAATTGCTACATGTCTACTACTAAGCTTGTTCTCCCTGATATCTATCTACAGCACGACTACAAGTGCTGACGATCTCCTATCGCCAGTATATAAAAATTCTTACTGCAGCACACCACCCAGTTTTAATTTACTGTAACAAGTTATAACAATAGTGATTGCTACCATTAGTAATCCATTCTAATCACCATATAGAAATGTTAATTTACTAAATTTAGTCATCCAGTTTTTTACGGTAGTTTGTATTGTGACGGTACTGTACTAATTAGGATCCACAAGCTTACTACGGGATGTAGTAGAACATTATATAGATATTTTAAGCCATAGAATTGATCTTGATCCACGCGCAGTTAGATCCTATGTTTCTTTATTAGTAATTAGTATGGTATTCAAGAACTTAACTCGTACCAGAACAAGACATTCACAGTTAAACGTCCTTCCAACATATTTCAGACTTTACATTTTATATTCCCTCGTAACATGGTGTGTAATTTTAGCAAGAATTTTTACTTGCTGACTTTGTATATGTATTAATTCTATTTGAAGGATTTACTTCAAGTAATTTTTATATTCATTAAAAGGGATATAAGTTATAATAATCTTATATCAAATGGGATTGAATTATACGATCAAATCTTGATTAAATTATCAAGTAAACTGACAAATTTGTAAGTATCCGGCTGACAATCAATATTGAATACTTAATCAACACATCATTTTAGTCTAATTAATTAAAGGAATAGTTTTTGCATATTGAGAAAACTCAATTGTCTTAGTTAAACCTTGCATTTTAGTATTATTTAGCTTAATATTTTACTATTGCATACCATTGCAGGCTGTTAGCCGGTAATAACATTACAGCAATACCGCAATCCTATTTCAAGAGGAATCCCAGTCTTAGAGGAATGTAAGTGTTGCTCTTAGCGTCAAATTTGTACAAATTGTACACATTAAGGTTAGAATATTATATAAATACACAATCTATGAATCTTTAATGTTTAAATAGCATTGGACTCATAACTTATTACATTAATGTACATGAATCTATAGTTCATTAGGCAATAACAATATGTCTCTATCGGCCATTAAACAAGCTATTCGAGGTTTTTATAAGATGGAATCTTGTGTATCAGACTCACCTACTATCAATACATGCTATAGTTATTCTATGTGAGTAAATGCTGATATCGTCCATTAAGTCCTAATAAATAATTGCTCAAAGTATGAACTTGAAGATGGCTTGCATTATTATAAGTAGCTAAACTTTTGTCATAAATCTTGATATTTTATTGTATATTAACCGATTAGTGACCTAAGCAACACTAATCTTCGTGAAGTCCCACCAGAAGAATTTATTCATTTAAATAACAATTTAAAAATTCTGTAAGTTATGTAGTTAGAATCCTTTAATCATTAATAAAGTGTTCAAATATGAAACGGTAAATTACATTTTATTTAATATCGTTCGTATAACTCATAAATCAGGTAAGATATGACATACTTAAACCAATATTAATGAGTTATTTCACTATTTTAAACAGACGACTGTTATAATCTATTGATAATACAGTTAACTATCCAATCTACGAAATATTTGCGCGGTGCAGTTAATGCAAAACCATAATATCGGTGTAGGCATGAGTCTTTCATAATACTTCCAGTTAATCAAATTATTGCAATTTATTTAGAATACTTGTGAATCAACTAGGATAACTTGATTATACTTTTCATTACATTCACGTTGAGCAAGAGAAGCTAATCATAGTTAAAAATGATTTTCCTATTTATTAGACAAACACTTAGCTGCATTTAAGATGTAACCGACAATAAAGCTAAGATCAAGCTATCACGGGGATTGTTCACAGTATCTCATATCTTGTCTTTCATTTGATAGTGTAACTTGAAATATTTACGGAAAACTATAAATAGCTTTCAAATTGTGAAAAACTAACCATAAATGTAGTTAATGTGCATAGAATGGAATATAGTCACTGTAACAGCTAATGCAGAAGAGATCACTAGCTGAAAGGCAGGAAAGATCTCAACGAAAGTTCGTCATGATGGAACACACATGTTTATATTCTTCTCTCCATGCATGTACTTCTACTTGTATAAATCATGATTCATCTAACATTAATATTAAAAATCAAGTAATCAAAATTAAGTTTGTCGTTTACCTTTTGAACCATAATGTTACTATTAATTTTAGGCTAATGATAGCATCACTAGCAGTTTAAAGAAACTATTATCATTGCTATTGCTATTTGTGACTAATTTGATTAACATTATAGGAGCCTAAATCACAATTCTATTGAAATCGTCGATGTCTCTACAATTTTTCGAGATAATGATTATAATTTACAGGAACTGTAAGTCATTTTATAAGTAGCAGTCTTGAAAATTGACAGCTTTAATTGTTAAATTTATTTATGATTTAAAATTATGTATTTGATCAGGAAAATCATATTAATCTATATTCATGTCTCTTATTATCCAATTAATAAGAATGTTATAAATATATATTTAGAAACCTGGCTGATAATGCATTAAGGACAATTACCAATAGTAACAATGTCTACTTCGATGCATTAAGGATACTGTAAGCGTGGCTTATGCTATTAAAGTGTCTTCTTTAGAATGAAATATTCAACTATAATACCACATGCACATGTACAGTTAGACGGATACAACTATATATACGATTGCATAATAAAAAATATGCCCAGTTATGCAAGAACAAGCTTTTAATACTTTAATCATTTTTCGTACTAATGCTAATTTTCATTGGCAGGAATGTAGCACATAATAAATTGTCTATTATTTGCGGAAGAGCTCCTATTTTACATTTTGCCCCCAATTTATTACAACTGTAAGTATTTATCACATATTATCTATTCTTACCTACATTTTAATATGCCATTAATAATATTTAATTTCGCCTATGTTAATTTACTTGTAGATATTTAGATTTCAATAACGTAAGAATTTTAACAAACCGTTGCTTGAGGGTACTTTCCAAATTGCAACTATTGTGAGTACCACAGATCGAAAAGATGTCACAGTAAAAATATCTCTAAAACGATGAAATAAACTGCATACATGAAAAAACAATATATTAAATGTAGCGAAAACAAGATATTTACGTCTTTTAAGTTTATGGTGTTTACGAATAATAGAATCCTAGTAAAAATTATATTCTTCTCTTAGATCGATAAAATCAAATCCAATGGCAACTATAACAGAAAGCTCATTTTATGGTTCATCTGCACTATCAGCAATGTAAATATAATGTTGTCGGTTATATTATTCTTTTCAATTAAAATTAGCCGAATTAATTATTCAGTAGTAGGATATTATTAAGATAGTATTAACCGTATAACTTCGAACGGGTGCTGTTTGCAAACTATAATCCTGTTCTTAAAATTGATATTGGTGTAATCCATGATTTCTTAAATATTATCAGAATGTTTATCTTCTTATTTATTTCTCTTATGTCAATAAATGTTATTAGAGCGTCAACAAGGCCATATTTATGCTGTATAGTTCCAGCTAAAATTACAACCTGCTCACCTGTTCCTGATTTGGATTCAGCATCTAGTTGTGAAAATATTCTCGTTCATACATCATTAAAATTGTCTGTCTGGATTATGGCTATTGCAGCTTTCATAGGGAATATCCTTGTCATTGTAACAAATCGCTCTAACAAAATGAAAAAAACGAGCAAGTCTACCGAACTCGTCTTTAACAGCCTGGCTCTTTCTGACTTTTTAATGTCAACATATCTTATCATTATTGGTGTTAATGATCAAATTTATAACGATCGTTACGCTCAATATGCTGAAGAATGGCTTAAGAGTCCAGCGTGTATTATTGCATCATTTTTAATAAGTACATCTAGTATGATGTCAGTTATTATGATGCTGCTAATAAGCATAGATCGCTATAGTATCACAGTTAATCCATTTACAGCATCACATGTAAGGTTCAAGCGTACTAAAATTGCATTAGGATTGGGTTGGTCGGTTACTTGTATCTATGTTGCTATACCAGTAATTATGAGTATTAATCAACCAGCAGATTTACGCTTATATCAATTCAGTTTCATCTGCTCTCCTAGTAATTTAAGCCATCGTTTTTATGCAACCTGGACCCTTTCATTTGTTTTAATACAACTTATTTCATGGATCATAACATTAGTAATTTACGTATTGTTACTTAGAGAGGTCAGTAAAACAAGGCGTTCAATTCGTAGCAATGCACAATCTCGTAATGGTACGATTGCTATCCGTCTATCACTTATTTTAGTTACTGATTTAGCTGCATGGTTACCAATTTATGTCATATCTGCTTTAGGAATCATTCAAGGTAGTATAAACGTTTTTATATTACAATTTGCGGTCATCTTGGCTATTCCTTTAAATTCTGCTATCAATCCATATATTTATATAGCTACTGGAACTGCAAGTTTCAATAGATTGGTTGCATTTATTAGTAAGAAAATGTCATCATCATCATCATTCGAATATACATCGACAACTAACATTAATTTGAGCTCTGCCCGGAACCAAACAATCATTCATGGAATTGGATCTTCATCTAATAATAGTATACCGCATCAAGAACCTATTAATGGTGATGATAGTAATCGTGATAAAACCAATAATGTCGAGCATCAAAATGATTCTGCTACTATAATTAATGCTAACGATAAGGCAAATGATGTCAACAATAAATCAATTAGTTATGACAAGCCTGAAGATAGAACTGTTAATGCATCAGATATTTCATTAAAATCAACAGCGCAGCTAAGACAAGCCACCTCTTCACTACTTTCAAATGAAAATAATAACATAGATATTCCAAATAATAAGAATATCGCAATGTCAACAATTAATTCTGAAAGTATAATTCTTCATCGCCGTCATCGAAGCTTAGACGATGATAGAATCTTTAAAATCGGAATCAAATTCATAAATGCAGAATTCAATAAACATAATAGTCTACACCGTAAATTTAGAGATGCTGAAAGAAAATTATTAGTCAGCAAAATTTGTACAAACTGTTAGCTACGCAACAGTGAAAATAATTTGAGCCAAGCGTTCATCGGAATAATTCAGCCGACGGATGATGAATATTTGGATGTACAAGATTATAGTAACCTTCAGTTATCTGATATTGGCATTGAAAATCCTAATTTTGAGGACGAATTTTATTCGTGTCATGCTAGACCTGCATTAACTAAACCCATGTTCAACATGAAAAGATGCAATTCTTGGTAACTGTTTGGTAATTTAAAATATTAACATAACACCATACATGAATAATATTTTCCAGAAGAAACAGAAAATTCTTTAAAAAATGGTAAAACGGATTTCTTATATAAACGCCTTTTGGATACATCATACCTATTATCATCCACATTATAAGACTTTCGCGAGTTAAGCATCGATGCCAATACAAAAATAATCGTAATACATAGTTATTCTGAAACTGTCAAATCCTTAATGTTGTTAAATACGCTTCTATTGCACTTTACCACGACCATAGTATTACATTTAATATTTTTATGACCTCTGTTCATTCAAATACTATACCTATTGCTCCGTAATCATGTTTAGTAATCGTATTACTTCACATTCGGTAGAAAATATAAATATTGATATAATTCGTAAGCGCATAATTTTCGACATAAACAAAACGTCTTCAGATAGATTTCAGGAACAGTATCGATTAGGCTGGTCAACTTATTTCGGTAGGAAATATAAATATTTGATACAGTCCTTAAGCGCATTATAGCACAAACACAACGTTTTCTGGTAGATCTCATGCATAATATTCATTAGACTTGTCAACGTATTTCATTGATTATATTTTAATAATATTCGATAGCATCGACCTCCTTGTAATCGTAGCTAGTAGAATGTTATCATCTCATCAAAGGTTAGGTAAGATGTATTAAATCATCATTTGCAATCTTTGACGGTTTATCACTTTCTTTGCGCTTATTAAAGATTGATTTCGGAGGTAAATGCATGTGCTACATTGAAATAATGAGATAATTTGAAATAAGATTTGAACGGCATTTTAGGAGGATTTGCTAGTTAATACTAAATAGGATCATAGATTCCTCTTGTTGTAAATGTACTCAACCTAACCAATGTATAACATAAATTCTGTGTAGCAGAACGTTATATCACTTAGTAGTGTATAGAATTTATCACTTTATTTCATAAAAAATGTAATATAACTTTCAAATGTCAACATGAAATCCTAGACTAACATGGAAAGTATCAAACAAAAATCGTAAACACTACGATACAAACAATCTGGCTCGCGAATTAAGTCTGCCTTTTTACGAAAAGGCTATAATGAAAATACGTTAAAAATTTACGTCAGTATCACTTTACATTACGAATATCCTTATATGTAATGCATAGACGAAGTGAAATCTTTGATTGAGATGAAATAAGACGTCATAGTCCCGAAGAAGCTTGCTTCTTCGGCTGCAATTTCTGAATGACTTCATTAGACTTGATTTCAGGAAATAATGCGAAAACAAATGTCTCTAACAGTGACTATCAAAGAGAAAGAAGAGCGAAAACTATTTAAATTCAAGTTGAGATGTTGTCAAATGGCACAATTTAATTTTTTTTTAAAACGAATTAAAAGTGTAGTATCATGGAATCTGTGAAAGAATGATTTACAGCACTATAGAAGTAAAGGTGTAGCAAAGGGTCCTAGTTGAAATTCATAGAAAGACTGAAAAATTTTCGATATGAAGAGTATATGCATAACAATATGGCCTACGGTTAAAGGTGTAATAAATAATCCGAGTTGAAATTCATAGATAAACTACAATGCTTTCGATGTAGCGGGTAAATGTTTAATGATATGATCTGCAGTATTAAGAAGATAAAGGTATAGCAAACAGTTCTAGTTGAAATCATGTTAAAGACTAAAAAACTTTCGTCCTATTTATAAGCTATATTTTAAATAAAATTGCTAACATTCCTTGTTCGCTACGTTATCTAGAACTGATCATAGTACTTTATTGCATTAGGCAATATTTGTCGAGTACTTACGTAATACATGTGTTTATTTGTTCGTATATCTTGTAAAGATTCAAATAACTGTAGAAAAATAAGACAAAAGTTAAAGATGATCAAAATAAATGTTATCACCTTTTTTCGTCTAGTTAAGCCTAATCTTTTTGCCACTTGACATAAAATATCGACAAATAATTTATAATATTTACTTCTGCAAGAGTACCAGGACGATCTTACCTGCTCTGCTCCTAGCTTACTGTTATGTTGCCCGAATAAGTTAACTATCACATCTAACATTGAAGCGAATATATTTAAAATACGATCTTACTACATTGTTATATCAATGCAACATCTTTATAATGTAAACAGCATAAATGACGTACCGGGAATATTTTTCATAAGCTTCTGTTCAGCTAATCTTCTGGTTTTTAATCTTTCCTGAAAATAAAAATTTTGGCTTTGATATAAAATCAAACCTTAGAATTGATTAATGCGCAAAGCGCAACGTTAAACTAAGCCCTTAAAGTAGCTAAAATAGAAGAGAATAAATTTAAACTGCTTAGTCTGATATTATTTTTTAATTAATTGGTGTTAGATAATTGCTTTTTTGTGACAGCATACACTGTACCTACACCTCAAAATAACACATCTTATTAATAAAAGTAGAATATCAATTAGTACATATAGAAACGTAATTTTCGACCTTGGTCGTCACCAATTACATATTATCTAAGCGTAAGAATACCTAATTTTGCTAGTAATCACAGTGATAAGCCAATTCGAATTAAATATACGGTAAAGTTCGTGATAATAAAGACGAGATTCCAAAATTGCAAAGTAAGCAACTATCGTAAGTAACAAAAGGATTACAAGCAAACAGATACCTCTTCTGTCCTAACTTTAGGTGTTGGTGTTGTACTATCTGACATTTTAAAGAAGGTCTCACGAAAAGTTTGTAAATAAAACAATGACATTTCTTCTCCCGCCATCCAATTAACAATATCTCGCAGCTGTCTATTAATTGTGCCACCAAAAGTCAACTGAACAAACGCCATCAACGTTCTTCTCAACCATTTAAATGCTATGAATAAGCCGAATATGATGAAAATACAAGCATGTATCAAGAAAATGAGTATAATAAACAGATTCAATTTATAATAAATTAACACCTTCAAATATATTCAAGACTACTTATGATTAATTCTGAACGACTAGTTTTAATCTTATGCAATACAATAAGCCTACAACAATCAATCATTTCTATTAAATAACACCATGAATGGGTAAATTTTTCGGTGATGTTAAATATCTTATATACAGTCTGTTTTAAGGCGAATAAATTAGCCGATTATGTAAATAGAATCCGCATTACCGTACTAAAACTAGAGCTAATTAATACAAACATAATACTGTTTGTGAATCACATAAATAGAGGATAACTTGCATCATTATCAGAAACGAACTTACCTCCATGAAGTTGAAAAATTTCATTAATAAGCTTTAAAGTAGGTTCTACTATAGAATCTTTTCGGCTAATCCAAAAAATACACATTAAGTTAAATTCTGCATTTGTATACTAATTGAGATATTCATAGTAAATTTTGGCGTAAATAAATCAAACTCTGGTATCTATTCTGTAAGCTATTACTTGTATTAAAGATAATTTAGCAGCAAGCTAGCATTACGGTAAGAGCAGAGATGATTGAACCTTGGTATTTCTTCCAAGAATAAATAATTTGTCCAATTGTATCAGAGCATCATTATGCGGATTTAATGCATTTCAATATAACTGTCCTTTCGTGAGGGTGGTTTATAATTACAACTTATACAATTTACTACTTTATCGTAATATCATAAATTATTTCCATCATAGAATCACATACAATACAATCATATTTATGCACTATGCTATCGCATATTGTCAGTATTGTAATCGGTTGTCTTCCACCCTGCAATGGTTTTCGGGTTTAAAAAGCTGTCTTGCCAGAAATAGCGTATATGATCAATTACAGAATACGAGTATACCAAAAACGAAATTATGCTAGATTATAACTAGAGATTGAGTACTATTGACCGAGTGTAATGTAACTTAGTATTGTGATTGTAGACTGTTAGCCATGTGTAGTATAATGTACGGTAGATATTTATCCTAAGAGATATTTGGTAGCTGTAACTATAGACTGTAGTGGTAGAGACTCTATGCTAGAGTACAGATGACTATATACAGTAAGCTGTTGAGTTACTAATATGGCTATAGGTAAAAATAGAACTGTAAATCATATATTAGTATATGGTTAATTCATTGTACTTTGGCTGGTGTGAATAATGTCTATGTAAGTACTTTGGTCGTATCCATATTGGATTAATGATGGTCCGCAGTAGAATAGTCTTACTAAGAATAATTTAACTATGTGTAAAATAAGGTAAAAGGTTGCCATGCGGATTGTAGCTGCGAATGCTACGGAAAGTATGAAAGCATGCAACTTTAGATTATTCTGTTAGTTCGTTCTAGAAGTCTTCAGTAGTAGTATTCGGCTAAAGTAGAGCTGTGTGTAGTTAATCTTTGTATAAGATTGAATAAAGCCCTTATTTTTCTAAAATTTGGAACTTCGTGATTGGTATATATCACACCGAGTAAGGCAGACAGATTTTTAAGGCTGTGATTTCAAATGTAGTTACTGTAAGCTTCGTGTAACCTGGTTAAGATATCCTATTAATATCCTTGAAGTGTACTTGTATTAATGCGATTGTTTACAAATAGAATACGGCAATGCAATGGCAGCGCTAGGCTTCATAATCGACTGTTAATGGACCGGAGCAATTGCTTTTACAAATATTAACAAAAACGGCCTAAGCTACGTAGGAAGTTGAAGACTAAATATGTTTTTATATATCAATATTTAGACTAAATCCACTTTTAATCTGAAATTTGGAGGTGCGAATTACAGGGTCTACTACTTATTATAGACTCTGCAGATCGATGGTGCAATTAAATTATGGAATTACAGACTTACTTTTCGTCATCAAATTCATTGGCCTGCATAAAAAAAGTAGAATGCATGAATTTGTTGCCATGTATACCGTCTTTACAATATTAACACATGAGTTTACTATTTCTAACAATAAAACAAAAACCAACTTACATCATCATCATCTTCCGGATTTATATTACTGATAAATAGAAATAAAATGTTTATTGAATTCAAAAATTTAAAATTGATATTATAAAATTCTAATAAGTAGATGTAAACATCGAATATAACCGTGAAGTCAGCGAAAAAAATCTTTATTCTATCACTTATACTGCGGTGTATGTCAGTATTTTAATGTTATTTATCGATGACGATCGGTAACAATAACCTTACCTTCCTCGACGCTGTGACATTCTATCCCGAATTTGATGGCTAATCGATAACACCGTTACAAATAAGATTTCGTCATTAGTACGTTAATAATAGGCTGATCCATTTTTAGCATACGATATTATTTTCTGTATAATTTGTTATCGTAGCGTAAAAGCATTTATATTTTAATTAACTGGGCAGAATAATCTATAAAGAGAGTTACAATACCATTGTTTAACAATATAATCAGGACTTGGGCAGAGAAACAAATACAAAACGTCAGATTGACATAATTTTTCGTGCAGAATTAATCCCTATCATGATCATGCATGTCATGCATATCGAAATATTAAAAAATAACAATGTTAGAAAATCATTCAATAATCCCATCTTCCAAATTAAATGATTTAGTAATTCACTAGATCTGTCACTATAAATTATCGTAGTCAGTATTTACCTCAGAATCATATCAGATTTACACTTACTTGCAAATAATTTTCTAGCAAACCTTTAATTCTATCTAATGTCGTTTGAGCTATACTCTTGGTCCATTTCTTAGAAAGGATAGGAAAATTTTTTCGTAACCAAGGATAGCACTATCAATATTTCACACATACAACAAATAAATTTGTATATTTCATTTACTGAATTTTTCAGTAAATTAAGTCAATGGACTAAATCTAAAGTCTAATTTCTTCAGATATCACACCAGTCATTCTAATTCTTATTGATCGTATCTAGCTTTTCTAATTTTCATTCATACATCAGTTAGCGTATGATGCAGTTCTTGAAATTCATTTAGAGTTCTTGTAACCGCCCAGCAATCCGATATAGTACGAGTTTCTTTATCATTTGAATCTTCTCGTCCACTACTAGCACGCTCCACAAGAATAACATAAACTGGAACATAGCCATCGCCTTCAACAACGACCTATAATTACAAATATTATTTACTACACCGGAATTATTTGCCATCTTTCACAAATTTCACGTCTTGGAATAATTCAGGAATCCATAAATTTACAACAGTCTTTCTATGATCAACTTTAGAAGTATTACTCACATGTGCATTACTAATCGAAGTCCGCCACTGGCCCATTAAATCGCACCATAATTCTAACAATTGCAACATGACACAGGACATAGCAAAAGTTTAATCTAGTCTCGATCTTATATTCAAAATCCAAATTGTTAAAGAAATCAATTTACCGGTTCTTTCAATGTGTGTAGCAAGTTGTTTGCGCTCTAGTTCATATTGATCAAATTCTTTAGCTAACTCTTCTTCTCTCTATGCATAATGTTAATTAAGTGCGACGCCAATAATTAATGTTATAAACGCCGTTGAAAAGAGCCACGAATATTTTCTCTGTAGAGTACTGGTAAAGGGCAACATCTATGTTTTACTGTTAGCTCACCTCCTGATCTTCGAGGCCTAAATTCCGTAAAGAGTTTAGTTCCTCCGCCTAAGTAAAAAATTGCAGAATAAGCAGTAGAGACTTTACTCGTATGAGCCTTTTTATTTCATATCTGTACGTTATTATTGATTAAAATTATGTTCTTTGTATTAATTTATTAGACGTGATGTGCTTATAGCATCCACTATCATTAGCAATGGAAGCACAATTTAGTACTTATAGTGTATTATAATATGTATCAGCCTTAAATCTAAGCTAGAACTAATATTTAAACTATGCTACCATATGGTAACCATAATGCTATAAATCTAAAATTCTCTGACTTAATCAACTTGGGAAATTAGTTGCAATTTAATATCGAAATAATACTAGGTACATTAAACTGAGCTTCAACCAATCTTAATAGTAATGAATATTACTATTTTGTCCTTACGATTTCAGCAATTCTTGTATCCAGATTGTCCAACATCTGAACAACAGAATCGTTTTGTTCCTCAATCACTTCAACACCAACCCTATCAATACCTGAAAATATGAAGATAATCTGGTTATTTTGAGCAGTCAAAATGATACTTTTAAAATTGCGTAGCCTTGAAGTTATATGCTTAAAATCTAAACCACATAAAATCATTGATAGTAATCGATACCACACACCATCTTCATCAAATTCCAGCCAGCCCTATCAAAATATTAATTAAACTCTTGATAAGCTATTAGAAATAGGTCAATTTTTCCAATATTTAATATTTATCTCGGTATTGGTATAGACTTTAGATATCTCTTTCTTAATATTCAAGACGTTGAATTGTACTAACCTGCTGATCTAAATATTCATCTTGCTGTTCGTTAATAGGACTCTGACTTCCTGCAATAATATATTTGTAGCTTCATTAAAATATAAATTACTTTGCAATAGTATTTTGATTATTTAATAATATCATAAAATGCATATTAACATTCTGAGTGTTGCCTTTTGATTTATATAAATTGTGATTTTAGCATCAGTTTATATATCAAATCATTCTAGAGTTCGAAGTAAACTGCATAAAGTTTAATAATTCTTTCAAACCTAATTACGTTTGCAATAACATACCAAATTTTATGCCAGCATTGTCTACAGTAACTTCAGCTTCTGTCACCATACTAACATAAAATTCACTTAGCAAAAAGGATTTATAAAACGTTTCTTCCATGCTGCGATAAATCTACAGATGTGATAATATATTTTTGAAGAGTAACGATATCAGCTTTGTTAGCGTTTACCACCGTACTTTGTTTATCAGTTGATAAAAGCACCGGATTTTCGTAATTTAGTTCTTAATTAAGCCATAAAATAAACTATTTTAAGGTATGGATTTCACTTGATAATTGATATATACTGATGAATCGAGTATATTAACCAATTTATTAGTAACTAAATCCCACCTGTTTTTGTGCAGCAAAGAAAGAATCTGGACCCTATCAATCAAATAATTTTTTATATTTAAGATCAGTGCTTTTCAAAGTAAATGATTTCTTTGTAATCTTACTTTATTTCCAGTCAGAAAAGCTTCCATTCCTCGAATCAGAGTTCGATCAATTCGAACTTGTTTCGAGGCGGCACTGATAATAAATCTCTCGTAAACATCGTTAGCATTCGATAGTAAATCTTTCTAAATTATTTATGAATTATATATATTTATATAGTTAGCCAAACTCAATTTTTTGATCATAAAAATGAAAAAACAAAGTATAATATTTACTACCTGAGATACGTATTTTAAATTTTCAATAGCTAGCCAAGTTCTGTAATTCAAAATAAATAAATTAAGAGTAATAATTAATAGACATCAGGTGTAGATGGATTAAGTTATATAATCTAGACTTCATACATGAACAAGTCATATACGATTGAGTCATTACTTATTATCCATAAATAACAATATTAATTTACTTGAGCATAGGACTACTCGATTCCCATTCCAAGTATTTATTAAAATAAGATCTTGTTACTGGACTGTCCATAATTTGCTTAAATGTAAAAGCCTAAATAAAAATTGAATCTAGATATTTAGATAATTTAGTAATATTTACTTACATAAGGCTAACATCAATGTGAATCAGTCTAACATGTATTAGAGCTTGCATAATAAACATTGCTTAGACAAGACTTCCATTCTTTATCTCACTTGTAACAACCGTCAAAGCTACTAAACTTGATCATATAGTACAGTAATTTTTTCGTCATAAGATACAGATATTTAATCCGCACTTTATATTTACTACAATGAGCTCTCTTCATTTCTATTGATAAAAAAGTAATTTAAACCTACATTGCTTGGAGCTTTGTTTTGATTTGCGGTTCTATGGTCAAAATACCGCAAATCTGGTCCTCCCAAAGAGCATATTCTTCTCTCGCAAACAGACTTGGCGTAGGTGCACTACAATAACGTTAGACTTATTCTTAGCATTTCTTGAAATTTCAAAATACCCTTACTGCATTTGTTAATTAAATCCAGTAGTAGGTATCAAATTCTCGTCAATTCACGAAAATTGATTTAGTAAAAAATCGAACATTTTTTAACCTGCTTTATGTAGCGCTTTAAATTTCGCGATTTCAACATCAGTCCCTTCTTTATATTACCGAGCGTTCGAACATCTGCATTAGAATTTGTGACAGTTTATACACAAAATAGATTGTAAAGTGCCCAAGTAAAAACAACATTATCCTATGGTTTAGGATGAGCAACCATAACCTTCAAGGCCTCCCTTCTTTAAATTCTTGATGACTGCAGACTGCATAATTTCGGCAATTATTTTGTACCTATTCAAGGTATAAACGTTAATGAAATTGTTAAACACTGCCAGTGGGTTTCATTGCCATTAATCTATCTCTCTACAACATACAGGTGAAATATCACAAATATTAATTATATCACGAAAGGTTACAGCACTATTTTAACCTTATTTCCTTTAATGTTTCGATATCGTCACAAATTGTAATTAATTTGATAAAGTCTAGATAAATGAGAATAACAATTTTTAAATACGATAAGCATTCTTGATTTTAATTATTCGATATAGCTTCAATTAAATGTGCTATTACGATTCGACCTTCAAAGCTTTTTGCGTATGCATATCTCTTCTTATGTGTTTCCAACATTTTCTCGCGAGCCTCAATTTGTCGCAGAAATGTTTGATTGAAGTAATCGGGATCGCAGAAATTTTCTGCTATAGGATATAAAACTAAAAAATTTTTCAATAAAACTACTTAGATGCCTTTAAGTAGTCAAATATGAAACAATATTTGACGGATCCTCATTCAGACATCTAGGCTTGATCAGATCCTACATAACTACTTTTTTTCTACTTACCACAACATGCCAAAACTTCGCGTAGTATTAATCTGTAATCATTGCAGCGACAGTCCTTTTCCGGCAGTAATGTTACAATAACAGCCTAATCCAAATCGCAAAATAATTACATCAAAAAATGATCCGAAAGAAAAACAGTATAATAGGTTGGTTTAATTAAATGTAATTATACTTCAGACATATGCCGTAAGTAGTCCAATTCTTCTTGTTTGCTGACTAAACAAGGATGAAGGACGAAAGGAATCATAGGATCCGAGCTGAATATAGTATTTACATTAATTTCGAATTAGAAATAATATTATATTTCCGATAATATTTACCATTACTTTTACATAAAGTAAACTTCAGCTTCCAGCTGCATTAAAACTAATATAGAAGTAAACCTTAGTTTTGATAGTCGAAGTGCTTTAAAATGATCACATAATTTATTGACGATATCAATATAGATCAGTTTAACCTGTAGATAAAATGCAAGTATCGAATGAGATTTAAAGTTATCATTATATTGCCGGGGAGTGTAATTAAATATATAATTAGAACTACGAATTCCGATTCCCAGTAACCCCTTCGTTCTTACCAAATCTAAATTGCCCAGTCTTTCGACGATATTTTCTGTCACTAACCACATTTGTTCCCTAGATTGAATTTTCAAGATCACATTTTTAGGATTTATCAACTATTGAATATATTTTTAATTAGAAAGATAAACTAATCGCTTAAGTACAGCGAGAATAAAAGTAAATCTTAAAATCATTTCAATAGTATGATGCATGTATTGCATTAACTTTCAGCTATATGGCTAGACAGTAGCAATTGACGGATTAATTACTAGTTTAGTACTCATCAGTAGCTTCAAATTTTACTTCTTATTAAAAATTCCTTATAGAAAATTGCAATAATTCATCAATATCTAAGTCTCTACTAACGAATCTAGTGCGATTACTATTAACTACATTGGAGATAAATTAATTAAAATTATGAACTCAATCCAGCAACGAGCATTAAATACTGATATTTATTTTTCAAATTAATGAGTTACTCCAATTCGAAATAATATCAAAACAGAGGGATCCGTATATCACATAAAGTTCTACAGTATTAAAATTCAAAAACATAATACAATATTTATAAGTTGTTGAATTATTCAATTATAAATGATTAGGGAGCATGATTTAATCCCTTCTTAATGCTTATTTTTGATAGAGAATAGTTTTAAAGATACATTACTGCATAAATCTTACGAAATTATGTCGATAAATGCCGCATTATCATTGTTGATGCTTTGATACCAAATCAGGACATAGTCTCGAATCAGATTATCGAATACTAAATGATAAATAAATGCAATTATGGAATTTAGGAATATTTCTCGCACAATTAGAACTTGAAAAATTTTAAGTTATATTAGACTAACCGCTATCGTTAAATTATTTTTACTTACTACTTTGGATCGCTTTATCAACATTAACGGAGACAACGGTTTTATGAGATTGATATGATCGATGCACTGTAAGCTCCTGGTATCAATATCATTACAAATATGCTAATATCACTGTAACAAATAACAGCACCACTGATAATTACTTAAGCTAAATTTTAAATAAGGTGTCAAATTTCAGTCTTCTAACAAAATAGCTTGCAGTAATTTTAGCTAGTAGGAATGATAAATTAGCATTTAATTGAATAAAATTAAGTAATTTTGCAGGAGACAAAGCTGGCAAACATTTTCGTAGCGATTCAGTATGCCCTCAAGCAAAGATCTCGTAATATGAAATGATAAGGTTTATATCGTGCAAACGGAGTTTTAATTGTGTCATGAAGCAATACAGTAATCAAAATCAATCACTTCAAATAATTCAAGAAGCAAGTTACTTAGGATATAGTAAAGAACATAAATATATCGAACTCAAAAGATAACCACTGACCGTCTTTTCCGTTAGAATTTTTTGGACTGCCTGTAACCCTTCAAATTGTTTGAAAGGCCTGTGTTGGCCACTTAATAATACTAGTAAAAATCCAACTGCAAATCCTATGACTACGATAATAAAATTGAGGATCCATACATGGAAACCATAGCTATACGCCAAGAGGCTAACAATTACAGCTGCTACCCAAGGGTAATAGCCATGATGATGATAAGCGGTAAAATAAGGCAATAAAATATCTTTCAGTAGTATCAAATAGCGAATAATTGATCTTGGCAGCCGCATAAAGTTATGATAGACGTAATCTCCGATTGAGTGAAAAACATAACCAATTCCCTCTTGCTTACGATGGGCTGCGAATAGCGACATCTTTATGGCGGCTTGATTTATTCCTCAAAAAAGTGATAGTATTTTAAAGAATTAAATCAATAAATTATAGTGTAGGACTTGGTTATGACCGATCAATTTAGAAATTTACGACAATGTAGGATATCAGTTTCCATTACTAGAAATATCAATGATGCAACGGATGACGATCATTTTATTTTAATTACTTGTATCAGCCTCTAATAGTAGTGAATACTTAACCATATGTTTTGGAGTAGTAAATACACATATTGCTCATACGATTGTATAGGTCTACAGTTAATCACATGATGGCAATAGATGATGCCTTTAGTTTAGCATATGGTCTGTGAAATTAGATGGAACTATTCTTACTAAGTTATTAATATTAAAACTTATCAATAGCTTGGTCTGACCCGGGGACAGCTCTAACTAAAGTAAGTCTGTATACGCTCAAATCTTTAAAAATCGCTATACTAATGGTATATATTAATTAATATGGCAACGAAATACAGACATTGTCGAATCATTTATAATATAATCTGTTTACTAATAAATCGTATAACTATATCAGTATTTTCGGGATGAATAGAGTTTGCAATCCTACAGCTTCAAAACGAATTTTATGATCATCAAACAAATAACCCAGTAAATGAGTAAGATAACAATTTTATTTAAATATATCATTCATTAGTCGCGATAAAATGAACAAAGTTTATACTTTTAGTTATTTATTTATTGTAATACTACATTAGTGTACCAGAAATTTGTAAACCAGTACTAATAAACTAATAATAATAATAAAAATAATTCACTCTCTGTCTAACGCTGCAAGAGCAAGAACACGTATATTGTTAAGCATACAAATGTCAACGTCTATAAATTCTCTAACCTAATTTTGAATTTTTAGGAACTGTAAATATCATCTCAAGAAGAAAATGAAATAGCATTCACTCAATGATTTAAGGTCAACCCATTTTAGGTTATTAAAAATTACGTTAGATTTCTCTTATGTTATTGAATTCCATCCGATGTTCAATTGTTTTAACTTAGCTTTATATTAAATAATTGCACCACATTACATGTTACATGTGATGAAATTTCTTTCTGTATCCTGAAGATGGGGTGTGAACTACAAATTTGCTAATAATTTCTTGAAAGCATTACAGCTTTGCTACAGTAGCTGAGATTTAAAATAAATCTAGCTAAGTTTTAATACCCTCTGCAAATGAAGTTGTATTATAAATATTTTTGCGATATACCTTATGAAAAAATCAACCAAAAACTATGTTGAAATTATAGCGTATCATAAAGTACGAGAACAATGTGATGTAAACATTCAAAAAATTTTGGGGCTGTGTGAAATAAATTATACTGCACGATAGAGAAATTTTTGAACGTGAAATAAGGTATCCAATTTCCCAATATCTTTATAATTGCACTACTATTTCCAAATTAAAATAAATAGCAGGTGTTAAGATTAATTAAGTTTTGTGCATCATTACAAACTCGTTTTTAGCAAGCCACGGGGCGTTAACAGTATTAATAGTAACATAAATGATGGTTATAATGAAATTTTTAAATAGAAATTGAGTAGTTCGTACCTCTGCTAACAAATCATCATGTAATTAATTAAATTTATCTAATATTGCTTACATCTTTTTTTCGTAATAATAACAGCAACATTTCAAAAATTATTTAATACCAATTCGAGATTGTAACAATACTAGTTTCTCCATGGTCAATTTATATTGCTTTCTCAGCCTAATTAATGGCCCATTTTCAAAACCAAACTCTGTATATATATATATATTTCTATATCATGTCTAATAAAAGAACCAAGAGGATTTCTTGTTCAACTTTATATAAAGTCTGGCAATTTGTCAAATATTACATTTCTGCTATAAATCAATGTAAAACAGAATATTTTCAATTTTATTAAGCAAGAAAAGTATTGATTGTCGATTAGTAATTATAACTTAACTTCGTACGATTAATATATCAACCTTAAGTTAAATTTTCTTAATTTATAAAAGCAATTCCATAAAAAACGATCATTATTTCATGCAATGACTCAGAGTTAAATGTATTCCTCACTTATATACGTGTTAGCTTCAAACATTGAGTAATAATGATACAAAGAATTTTACATGATTGGTGGAATGTTAGATTATTGAAATATGTATCATAACAATGGTCGATATTGATACCTAAATTTTATTTGATATTGTACCCTCACTACAATCGCAAGTAATTCTTACATAGCCAAGTCAATCGTTAAAAATGAGGATATGATAACGCAATGTTAATACACGAAATACATTATCATACTCTTCAGTTTCAGCCAAAACAGGAAATTGCCGTAAAATTGTCTCAATAAATACGACTATACATTTTTCACAGGATTATCAACAATAGTATGAACATAACCTGCAATGGCAGCATATTAGTTCGCTTTAGATAATTTTCATTTTATGACTGTCATCATGCTTATATTCCATTGGATATTTTACGTCAAGAAGTATCAAGATATTCCAAAATTATTCCAGGCCTTAAAGAATTCACTTAATTAAATATAATTCTTTTTACAAAATATTACAAGACAAATGGCGCCATGACGATACAAAAGTAGAGCATCTATCACGCGATAAGACTCGCAATACCAAACATAAGATAATGTTCAGACTTTGAATAGATTGAAAGATGCCGTATATAGTACATCCTGTCTTGATTACGCAACAAAATTAGATGCAGGAAAATACTGAAGTAAAGTTTATAGGACAAATTATTAATTGCAAAATTGATCTCAGTGTGTATGCAGCTATTAACATTAGTCATTTGAAAAAAAATTGAACTTTACTGAAATGTAACATGGCATGATCAAGTTAGCAACAATGGTGCGCGTACTACATTGGTAGGTACATTTCAAAACATGACAAATGTTACCATCCAGCTTCCCAGACTGGTTTGCTTTTAGGTTTAGTAGGTTTACTACTCTTAGCTGATGATGATCTGCTGTTGCTATCGGCATTGGCCCCCTCCCTTGAGGGCCTGGCATCTGCGCTACTACTTCTTTTCTTTTGCCTGTTTGTATTCCTATTTGCACTGGTAGGTCTCGATCTAGTAACATTAGTTGATTTTCGAATAGTTTCTGTAGGTTTAGCCTTCTGTAGTCTCTTCAACAATAACTAAAATTTTAGTAAATCGATAATAAATACGTCAATCAATTAATACAGTATAACACAGTATAATAAGAATATCTAAAATGATACTGAAAGTTCATTTACTGATATGGTTATCATAAACTGCCGTATGAACTAAAATACGCAACAGCTATCAAGGTGATAGCAATTTATTCCCTATAACATATATAACTTTAGTAGATTAAGGTAAAGATTATAAATTACCAAGTTTTCAAATTGTATTCTCTGAGCATCTCTTCGCCTATTGACTAATGAGGCCGTTACTCTAGCCGGTTGTGTGGCTGAAGTACTCGTCGTTGTAGTTGCTTTACGATTTGGCGGTTTTTTAACTTTGGGTTTTTGTTTTTTTCGCTGTATTTCGGCAAGCAAACGGTGATTTTCCTTCTCTATTTCTTTGGCTTTTTGATTAGTAAACGACATATTTTGTCTTGATACAGGTGCGGCCCTAGTCACTGTATGTATTTTGGGCCCTTTAGAACCTCGACTAGCAATCGATCGCCTACTCTCGGGTTCGGAAAGTTCATCTACATCACGCAACCTTCTCAATTCTTCCTCTTGATGCTCCAAACGACCATTGATATCTAGCATTAAATCAAATAACTTCTCTAAACTTGAGTCGCCATTTTTTAACTCCATCGCTTTACTATCAACATCTTCAGCCTGCGATCGATCACTAATTTCTCCGTCTGCCTTCTCAATTAGATCCGCCATGTTGACACCGTTGCTATTGCAACTGTATTACAGTAAACATTTCAAAATTATCACGCAGTCGCACTGGTGCACTTCGCTGTTGGTTCTGTTGGTAGTTCGCACCTGCGTATTTGTAAACAATCCAATCAATGACATCAAGCGATCAGCCCTTAACTCCATGAGTGTCCATAGCACGATGTCCCATCCAAAATTATATTCTCCGTATTTTTAGAGCACCTGGATATGGGACTCTAGAGTTCCTCCGACCCAGTTTATCTTCCTAGTGTTTTCGACTAGGGATTCACTCCGTTAAAAACTTCCGGGTTTTATGCCCTCGACGGTGGATTATAGCGTAGGGTGTCTGCAGAATAGTTGACAGTTATTAAGCCTTCCCAACACTTGAAAGTCCCTAATTTAAACATAGCTATAGCTATTCTGTCATAGTTACTGCACCGATCTTGGCATTTTCAAAATGTCACTACCAGCTGTGGTATATGTCTGTTTGTAGCGGTAAAGAAAAAGTATTTATTTTCTTCTCTTTTTACCGCTCAGGTTCTGACCGGCGAGCGCGGTGCAGTGATGTCACGTTTGACCTCCGATTTCAACAGAAGGTTATTCTTTACGGTAAAGTTTACTCTAAACATTGCACTAGGTCATGGCCCATGGACTACATGCTATACTATACTATACACTACTACTATTCAAGATCGCACATTAGAATTCTACATAGAATTCATAGAAAATTCTTAATTATTAGGATGAATAACTTCTGCACAATATACATTATTTGGAGACCTGCTACCTGCTACCTGCTACTTACTGATGCCAGTAAACTTTTGTAAATAAATGCCATAAATAAAATAAATAAAAACTGGCGGGATTTATGCACGACAGTACAGTACAGCACATGCATATTGTACTGTAGACAATACGGTACAGTACAGTACAGCACTGTACATTGTACTGTAGCCTACAGTACAGTACTGTACAAGTGCCAATTCTTTCAGCCAAACGAGCCTCATTTTGCAGAAATTGATTTGTAGGTTGTAGCAGACCAGAAGAAAAGTTACCCGACTTACTAGCAATAAAAATCGAATAGTTCAAATTAACAGCAATAAGTTAAAGTGGTCATCAAGATGAGAGATGATCAAAGAAAGAAAGTACTTATTACGGGTGCTTCGGGATTATTGGGCCGAGCTATCCTAAAGGAGTTTGAAGTGGATGGCAGCTGGGAATGCGTGGGTCTTGCATTCACTCGAGCTAAAGGAAACCTGCGCAAGGTCGATCTAAAAGACGTAGGTGCTGTTAGAGCTCTAGTTAGTGAATTTCGCCCCACGGTTATTATTCATTCTGCTGCAGAACGACGTCCTGATGTGGTAGAACAGCAATTAGAGGCTTCTAGGCAACTTAATGTTGTTGTCAGTCAAAATTTAGCCTCTATTGCCAAAGAATTTAACTGTTTCTTACTCTATATTAGTACCAATGGTGTCTTTGATGGAAAGAGTCCCCCTTACAAGCCTAGTGATGTACCAAATCCCTCAAACAGTTACTGCATTTTCAAGTTTGAAGGTGAAAAAGCTACTCTACAAACCCTGCCTAAAAGTAGCGGAGTGCTGCGAGTGCCGTATCTTTATGGACAAGTTGAAAACTTAGCTGAATGCTCGTGCACGGGTAAGTTTATGCATGTTGTAGAGAATACAGTGACCGACATGTGGATAATTACATATGAGATGACTTCAATACTAGAATGTAAATGAGTTTTATAGCTTGATTATACTTTAAAAAGCGAAACAGGCCTGTTACATGACTTCAGTACGTCATTATATTTTCCTTCAGTTGCAGAGTGTGCATACTACTGTAGTACCTAGCGTTGAGTAGTGTGGTCACATCAAAAATTTACTTTACTGTATGGCATGTAGTTACGTTACGTTCTTTGTTAAGGTAAATTTACTTTATCCTCAAGCTACTTAATTCCTTACTTTTCTTCTATGGCATCAGCTCTTTTTCAGGCAGTTCTCAATAATACTAAATCAAAAAGTGTCACTGACTATGGTATGCGTTATCCAACCCTCGTCGATGATATTGCGATCGTTATAAGACAAATCTGTGAGAAGGCGCTATCAGAAAATGATTTTCGTGGTATATGGCATTGGAGTGGATCTGAAGCTCTAACAAAGTATCAGATGACCAAAATTATGGCTGAAGTATTTAATTTAGATTTCAGTCATATCAAGCCAGCCAGCGAGCCTCCAACGGGAGCGAAAAGATCTAATAACAGTCAGTTAGATTGTTCTGATTTAATGAAACTAAACTTCGGTAGACATACGCCTTTTCGGGTAGGCATACAGGAATGTCTCCGTAATTTTGTAAACGTTAGTTAAACACATTTTGTTTGGAACTTATATCGCTAATTATAGCTGAATCAAGTTAGGGTGTTGAATTTAATTTGTGGGTTAGCAAGTATTAAATCTTTACGATTAATGCAACAGTTTCTTTGCAACTCCACAAATTCGGTTTCTGTTAGCATAAAATATTGATTTAATGAGGGTGTAAAGTAAAAGATGACGATGTAAATAAATAGATCTTCAAGTTAATAATAGCTTGTTTCCTTATGCCTTAATGTTGAACAGATATGTACAGTATGTGATAGCAATTATAATATAATTACTACTAAGTAATAGCCTAATAGCTAAGTGATGTTTCTGACGGCCGTTGGCGTTCCTTCGTACAAATGCATGGCAAGTTACTAAAACTTCAACAAATTCCTCAACACTTTGCAATGTAGGAACGGTTCTCATTAGCCTTGTGCAATAGGGATCTATTTAAAGTGCTCATTAATCGAATGATTTTAGCAAACTCACAACAGCCTTTTAATTTGCTGTTGATTTAGACTTTGTCGGTAACGGTAGTTCATACAGTATACTTTAACATACATTAAAATTACTCTTATTCAGAACAGCACCCTGAATGGCGAAAACGAAATCGTCTTAATTCGAATACACAATGTTTTAAGTTTGTTATGATGATAGTAATTTTTAATAACCACGACAGGATACCGTACAATGTCCATTGCAGACTATAATTTAGTTTGCATCAATCCCGAATTGATGTTTTAAAGGGTTCTTACATATGACAGATATTTCTTAAACTGCATTAATGTTTATCAATGTTGAAATAACATTCATTAGCGCACTCTACATATGTAAATAAAATACTTCGCGTACACTACGTTTGCGCTGTGTTTACGTAGTTATCATTCTTTGGTTTCATTAAACAACACACCTGGTATGAAGTTACAGTACACTAGAATTAATCTAATCGTTGATAATCTCAGTAATCATCAGCCAAAGTCAGATTAAACATTAGATATCTTTAAAAACATACGCAAATTCCGTAAACTGCACCTAGCTGAATGTTCTGACAAGCAATGCACTATAAAGCCGAGTTGGTGACATATTCATAATATAGACTTTTTATATACTACAGAAATTCTACATGATAACGTCATCCTATTTATATTTAGCTGGAGGCAATATAATATTTCAATTGTAATTCAGTTTGCAATACCTTTAATTAATTTAAAGTCGGATTAGATATTAATTGTATATTCCAGATGTTTATAAAACTAATACGTTGGCATTGTTATCCAAGTTTTATGATATAAATTTCGACAACGAAATCATAATACCGTCTTGGAAACTAGTTTGTTGCCCAAAATTAAGCTGAGTCAACGTAGAAATATCGAGATGACTATTATAAGGTCGCTTAGCTCCAGGAGATGGTTTGTTGACTGCTACTAAATGTTTATAATCTATATTAAAGGCCTTAGCAATTTTAAGTGCCATCTGATATTTAGTTAATTCTTCCAAGCCACTCCAATGCCAAATTCCATAAAAATTTTCATCCTGTAAAGTTTTATCCGAAATTTGTCGGATAACTACAGCTACATCTCCTACATAAGTTGGGTAACGTTTCTCGTAATCCGACATTTCACCCGGTTTATTTCCATTTTGAATTGCTTTCAATAAAACTGATAATAAGAAAAGAGTAAGTACAGGAAGTGTTCAGCATAAAATCGAAATCGAGCAATGCTCAAACAATAAACGATATGGTATTACGGAATACGGTAGTTATTGTACCGGTAAAGTTAACTCTATGTAACTGCATTAACCTGTAACTGCACTTTCTTCAAGGTATTCTACTTCACCATAAAGTATCGGTAAGCGCAATATCCCACTCCGTTTGGGATACGTTTCTAAAACTGCTTTTTCACCTTGCCACTTCAACATTCCGTAAGTATTGAGCGGGGCTGGTTGGTCCGCAGGCTGATACGGAGGGTTACAACCATCAAAAACATAATCTGTACTTACGTAGAGGATAAAGCAATTGAAAGTTTTAGCAATCAAAGCTAAATTTCGACTGACATCGACATTCAATTGTCGAGCAACGTCAGTTTTTTTATCAACAATATCAGGTCGTCGTTCTGCAGCAGCATGAACAATTACATCAGGTTGGAATTCACGGACCACCTCTTTAACTGCGTTAACATCAGATAAATCGACTCTTCGTAAATCACCGCCGGCCCTGCTGTAAGCAAGCCCTAAAACTTTCCATGTAGCATCATTATCAAATTCTCTCTTAATGGCTCGCCCTAATAAACCGGAGGCACCTGTAATCAAGACCTTTTTCATTGTAGCCATAATCTTTTACTATAAACTATTGAATAGCAGTAATCTTTGCGTATGGCTGACCAACAGGGGCACTTGAATCGCTAGTGAATACCCTACAAGCCAAGATTGAAAGTGCACATAACGCTAAGGTGCGAAGAAAGTAGGCGTTCATTGCAACATGTAACAACTTTATAACATTCTCTATACTGTACACTTACAAACGACGTGAACGTTATTATTTCTCAAGTTATTCTGAACTGTTCTTGCAATGGACCGTTGCTTGCATAAATTTTCTTACTAAAGGTTACTTAATTAGCCTACATTAACAGATGTGATATCAATTAAGAATAAATATAACACACAGGGCTACAATTTCGATCACTTGCTCTACTCACTCGATAATTAATGTACAGTACTATTTAACATTCACAAACGCGAAAGAGGCAATTGTACGTATACAGTAGTGCTAGATAAGCCATGAAGTCTTCACTAATTATAGATAGTACTTGAGAATAAGTGAAGAAAACAAGATGTTCAAAATTTACTGACCGACAAGATATTTCAATCATCACGCAAAATGAACGTGCAATATTTACGATATCTAATAATGTACTCGTACATAACGTGCCACGTATGCTACGTGTAGGAGGGTCCAAGTCCTCCTCCTTTAAGATATTAATCAATGAAACTGCTACTTACAATGGAACAACATATCGTATCAACTACTCATTCTACAGGACTGAATTTCAAAATGATTCATTACTGTAGTGAGCTTTAGCATGAATACAACTTTTATTTATACTGTACAATGAATTTAACAATTTTACGCATCTTGTGACGATTGCAACAGCTGCAAATCCTGGCTGAATAGTGCAACCAATCCAGGAGTAGCGCTAAGAATAGGTTGCACTTGAATAGTTACTTTCAATATTGCTTTTCTATTCGCACTTCACAGTATTCTAGATATCTTACCTGAATGCATTTCAACGCAGAAAACTACGCTTTACAGCAATTTGTGTGCTGGCGTAGAAACGGAATGAAACAAACATTTGGGTGTACCTTAGCTTGAACTATCGTGTCTGAAAGCAATGCTAATAATGATCACATTGGTGACCGATGACCATTGACCTCCGTTGCAGATTGCACAGTGCAAAGCTACGGTACAGTACAGTACGTACTGTACTGTAGCTAAGCTATTATTGTCAAATATCAGGAGATCAAAATCGATAGTGAACTAGTAACCCTGTACTAATAAAGGAGCATACAGTACAGTACTTGGTCTTTCTTTAATAACCCGTTCTCTTAATACTGTACTGTACAGTACACTACAGTAGACACCCTTATATTGCATTAATTCACAACGACACTATACAAAGACAACATGGCGTTGTTTGCCCTAGTAACTCAGTACTAAAAAAGGAGCATTCTTGGTCTTTCTTTCTTCAATAACCCGTGCTCTTAATACTGTACACTAGACACCCTTATATTACATTATTTATTCACAACGACACTGTACAAAGACAACATGGCGCTGTTTGCCCTAGTAACCCAGTACTAAAAAAGGAGCATTCTTGGTCTTTCTTTTTTGAATAACCCGTGCTCTTAATACTGTACACTAGACACCTTTATATTACATTATTTATTCACAACAACACTGTACAAAGACAACATGGCGCTTGTTGCCCTTGCTCGAACGCTTGCCTTCAATATCAATGACCAGCTACTATTTCTGTTGCACTGCTAAATCTTGACATTGACGTTAAGGCTGCCATCGCAGATTATAGTAGTCCTGCCCTATTCAATTCTATTGTTCAGTACTAGACTAATCAGTGTAAACTGCGCTTTCCTGGGTAAAACGTGTAAAATCGATTCACACAAAAGTAACGTTATCACGCGTAGCCGAGCATCATCGCCTAAAATTTGAAAGTCGTGTACTTTACTTTTTCGCACAAAATGCTTTATGTCCATTAACTCCGTTTGGCCGTGATGGTATTACAAAAAAATCGGTTTCTAAGTACGTATAGTACTGTACATAGATTACAATCTCCTTATTGTACCTCGTACGGTAAATTTACGGACCTCGGAGCCAATAGGCTCTAGGCCGTACTTTTTGCTTGACTGACTGCTATGCTCTTACTGACAGTTTCCTGTCACTCTGTAGCAGCATGTTACACTAGCTACAACTACACTTAAAAGTAATTCTCTAGGAACTACTTACGTAAAATAAATACGGTAGGAGAAACATTTAAGGCTTTCCTTGTTAATCAAACATTAAGTTATTATTCCAATAAAATGTCAAGTATCTAATCTGTTTTATAGTTGAGTTCATAACAATTTCTAATCGTTTACTACGAATAGAATAGAACTACAGTACAGCTCATCAGCTGTACGGTAGGCAACAATAAATGGAGCAGACCCTCTTTTCGCACCTTCAAGGAATTTAATGTTACTGCTAAAGCATATCCTGCATGTGTATAACCATAGTACCATAATTATCAATGCTAATGTTGAAACAACTAACGTCTTAAATAGACAATATAATAGAGCCACATCACCTTTCTCGTTACGTCTCCCCAAAATTGCTTCTAGTACGATTTTAATAGTAGAAATTTCTTTCGTCCTCTCCCGATCCCCGAAAGATACGAACTATGCAAGCTGCCTATATCAGCAAGATTTCAGATGCTGTCTTATCATTGTTACTTTTGATTTTGGAAACCCTATGATTATCAACAAAACTCACTTTACAATGCATATTCAGTACAATTCGGTATCAACTACTGGTTTCTGTACGGTCGGACCTTTATCTCCATTTAATTTCAGAGTCAATGACAACATTATTAATTGTTAATTAATCATTTACACAATTAGTATTCATTTTCTGTTTTATATTTCAGTTATGGAATGATAGCTGAACCCTTCAATTTTTAAACTTAGCTTTTTCAAATTTTAAAGACTCCTGTACACGCTATCAGTTGATTCTTTATTGATTGTGAGATGCCGCTGTAATTTGGTAGGTCAGTAACGAATATTTACAAACAATTAATTTGCATCTAGCATCATATAAAGTGCACGATTACGACTGAATCTAAAATGTGAGTTTTACAAATTCTATGTGGTCACCGTTAATTAGGCGTCCAAGCGCATATTCTGTTATACCAATTCGTATACCCGAGCTAATAACTTTTAGCGAAAGCAATGATTGCAAATAATTACAATGCATTATTAAGTACGTAGAAAACTTTCAATAAAATTTTTTTAAAATCGAAGTAATTTAATTTAGAATGCAAAGTTCAATCCAATATCGTTTATCTATTTTGACAGAAACGATTTACCGTCGCCAATTTACATTACTATTGACGTTTGAGTACGTTCGTCACTTCTTCTTAAATTTTGCCAAGACGCATTAGGAGTAAGAGTGGCCAAATTAAAAGCTGATACGCGTCGCGTTCTTATGCGTGAAAGAGTCTGATTTAGTTTTGCCTCTCTGAGAAACTCTTCTCTAACAGGTAATCTCAACAATTGCAATATGCAAATTTTAACCACAAAACGTATATTTCTATCACTAGCTACATATACCAATGGATTAACAAATGTTACACTAAATGCCATAGAATAAAACACCCATGCAAGATAATACAATTGTAGGTTTTCTCGACGCAATTTCTCCAACGACAGTCCACTATATGCTGTCAAAAGTAAAAACGAAAAGATTGGCAATATTAGCGTCATAAATCCACTGGAAATTATCACCAACATGCGAATAAATAATAGCGACTGTTGATCAGATATTGGCTGATTTTGATGCTCTCTGTGAAACGGCTGAATATAATTCTTCATTGCATAGATGCGTACATACATTACTATCATTACAAGTAATGGTAAAAAATATAAGATAATAAACATCAAGGTAAAAAAAATCGCGTTTAAAGGCTCAGATGGTAAAACATCGCAAAAATGAATATCATAAGAGTAAGTTCCGGACAAGAGCAAGAGTGGAGTAGATAAAATAATAGCAGACATCCAAATACCTGTAATTGTAACAAATATTTCTTTATCACTCATAACTTTAAATTGATTATTCAAACAGCTGTGAATTGATCGATGACGGTCGATTGCAATGGCAGTAAATGTATAGGTAGATACAACGCAAGACAATATAGAAATATAGTTAAATAGCTTACAAAGAATATCAGTATCTAGAAAAGTTAAAGTTGCAGTTTTTTGCACAATAAAGAACAGAACAAAAACGAAAGATAGCAAAAAATCAGAAATACAGGCATTGGCTAGAAATGCATATGAAGATGAATGTAGTTTCGCGCTTTTATGAACGACATAAAAGATGAAAAAATTTAAGAACCCACTTAATATATGAAAACTTAGTGTAACATAAGTCACCACAACTTGAGGTTCAATTATAGCATTCGTTGCATTGGCCATGATTAGAAACACTGATCGTAGTAATTTTATCTGATTGAAGGGTTTTTCTACTGCCTCATTCAGCGAATTGTTACCACTAATATAATTCACAGTTGTACAACCATTAGAGCTATCTTTCTCTCTTTAAACCGCTAAATGAGTCTTATACTATAGAATCCGTAAATATTAAAGGAAGTATTAATAACTTTCTAACTAATTCGCTGTTTTATAAATCATCTCCACCACGCACAATTCGAATGCCTGCAGCGCATTAGAAAAGAATAAGTAATTATTAGTGTTACTGATACAAAAATAAAGAATTAGTATCCATTTTCGCCTTCAACAATCATATTCTAGTATTAATATTTAACTAACTAGATATGACATCTATTGTAACTGAAATGATATTGCAAGTATTGACTAATCGTACATCTGGAAAATTTGATAAAAGTAATTTGTAATTAATATTTAAAACAATTAAATAGATATGGATACTATTAGTGTTTATTTGCAATTTCTCATAAAATGCTTGTGAAAGCTTATCATTACTATTTATAAGTGAAATTATTTATATGAATTTTTAGACATCTAAAGCGATAATCCTTACCGCAAATAATTTGAACAATTTAAGAAATAGTAAATTAGTTATCAATTGATTCAAGAATAAATCACTGGGCAAATTTCTCTCTTTAGTTCGTTTATAACTTTTTAAATTACTTTCGAATAAAGTACTAAATATCTAATTTCAGCTATTTAGCCATTGTTCATTCAAATTCAATAACAGGATGCACACATCTGCAATAATAATTATTAATTAACTAATCATTGAAAGGCTTGTACAGCCCTTGACAGAAACGCTACCAATCGACAGTGAATCAATACGTTCACATCGATTTAATTTACACCGAACCTACGCTTATGTAAATTAGACATTATTAAAAACAGATATCATCCACCCATCGAGAGATACTACTGCAGCCTTGATATTGAAGTTACATCAATCTTCATTTAACCAAGATCATTAAGCATTTCTACCTGATACGGATACTTCTTCTATTTACTTATCGATTTGTAATCAGAAATCTAGCTCATTATAAAATCTGAGACTTCAAATCGGAAAAGCATCTATGACTTTTGCAACAACCTAGAATTATACATAATTGACCGAGCAGTTGATTAAATGATATGGGCGCGTACAGCACTAAATTCATGGGAGGAAATCTTTCTATATTTTCGATTATAACTTTTAATCAAATATCCTAAAATACACTAGATTTTATTTCAAATTATATTTTTTTCTCAACATTAAATGTTTGAGCAGCATAGTAATACTACGAGTGTCATGGAGTAATTTGATACAAAAAAAAATCTCGTAGATAGTACAGTACACGTATCACGGGCAGCAATAAAATCTATCAAAGCACAACATTTCAGTTATATGTCATTTTAATTGCAAATTAATAACGATCGATGTGATTAAGAAGTAAGTCTTGTTACTATTTACATATGTATAAATATGTGTATATATATATATTTATTAAAGCAAAGTTAGAACCAACTCGAGAAACTGAATCCAAGCATTTATCAAATACTAATTCTTTTCTTCATCATCACTTTCATTATGTACTGAAATAGACATCAGTAACAGGATAAATAGTTTATGTGAAAGGGTACAATCAAGGACAGAGTATATCTGCGTAATTCCTTACAATAGCGTTTGCTGATACGCAATGACTGTTTAAGTGAATTATAACGTCAAAATAAAAGAGGAATGAAACAATCTATCAAAGCTAATTGCATTAAAGAATGCAAATTGAACTACAACATACAATATTTCACTGTAATGAAGTCAATTCTTAAGGGTCCATAATAAATCAAACTAAATGGATTTAAAGCCCAAATTAAGCTTTATAACTATTAAACCAACCGTAACTGTATTTATAACAAACTATTAACAAGAAGAACTCCCGATCTACTCGTTGCATACGCTTATAAATCCTAGCGCACGACTTATTTAGTAATGGTAGTAATATTATCACGCTTCCACGCGCTACCATATTTTGCCGGGCAGGAGCAACTAATCGTATTAAACTACGCAAGTATTACAGCCTACGGTAGTACATATTAGAAATTCTACATTTAATTAAGAATTGGACTAAAGCACTAAACTCACGGCACTACATTTACTTTGAGCAATAGTTCATTATCAGGGATTAAACTACCATGAGTACTTTATTATATGAAATTAAGTAGATTTAGACTACTGTAAGCTAGGTGATGGCGATTGCTATCTCGGTTCTTATGTGATTCTGTGACTAATAAATACGAAGTAAAAACGTACCATACGGTAGGGCTAGTAATCTGACATATCTATTTTTATAGTATAGACTCTGTAAGTTTAAGTGGATAGATATTGCTTTGATATGACGATAATTCGTAATATAGTGGTAGATTTTCGAATATAGATGTTGGGAACTAGTTTAGCAGATACCTATTGCTACCTGATAAAGTAATATAAACGTAATCGAGAAGTTATACTGTACAATATTCCGAATGTTCTAGGTTAAATCTGATACTAAATGTGTTAGGTAGAACGTTCAGGATAATTAGGGATCTTTCCCATACCAGATCTATCGTTGTAATTTGAAGACCTAGTGTCTAGGACAAGTCAACTATACTTCTGACTACGATAAAATTTCCAATACAGTAGATCGCCTGGTGACTCTGTCTACGAATCTCGATTTGTTGTTAGTGACAGTAAAACAGTTGAAATTACAACCTCAATCCGTGTTGCTAGACAAGACAAATTTCTTCAAATGAAGACTTGTATCACTAATTTATATGACCGATACTGTACTAAATACTAAATACGACTACGTACACAGTATTAAGGTATAAAGCACTCATTTTTTGAAATGGTATTTGCATTGACTACTGCATAGTGCATTTGGTAGTCCATGGTATTTGCTATTGTCAAACATCTCTGGTAAAAAAAAAAAATAAGCTAAGCAAGCACAAACTATGGGTGAATCAGATATTGATCCTTGATGCTACTTACAGTACTACTGTAGACTTATTTATTTTAGCTAATTATAATCATCGTTAGCAGAGAGATTCTGCAATTGACTCTTGATAAAATGGTCCCCATTTGTTGACGTACTGTTACTAGTTACTACTGTATCATGCTTCAAAACTGTCAAGCTAATTTCAGGTCAATATTAACGTGTACTTCTTGTAGTCCATTACTGTATACTATAGAACCATAACAGGAATGCCTCTATGGCGGAAATGCAAACAAGTTGGGGAAGGGATAATAACTGTACGCCATAATATACTGTGCAAAACCAACCAGAAATATTCATGAAATGTTCACGATGTTTGTATCAAATTATAGACTTTTGTACGCTACATTGTACAGTGTCTTTATCAATTACAAATTTCTATACTTATAGTATGTAGCATGGACTACTAGACGCAACAATTTAGTACGCCATACTTTTTGGTTTGCACACTTGAGCCATTGAGTAAGTTAGTACTACAGATTCGTTGGATACAGTGTACAGTACAGTGTTACAGTACGGTACTGTGTATCAGTACTGTACACTGTAATGTTACAGCTATCCTGGACACCCCACCTGTCAGCTGTTTACAATGTGTAACTGCTAATTTTATATTATATTATATTTAATCGATTTCATTTATATAATTCGAGGTTGCTCAATTTTGGCAGTTTGATCGATAACTGTACGTATGCAGCTACTATTGAACTGATATGACATCATCCAAATACTTACTTGTACTCTACAGCACAGCAAACTATCGTAGTGATCTCTTGTAAAAGTAATTTGACCCTGAAAGTAATGTTTGTAATTTGTTTTTGCTATTCATGGCTACAACTATAGAGTCGTCGCAGTTTGCAATGTCATCCTACTTTAATATCAATCCATTCTGTCTTATTAATGGTTAAGACGAGAAGTAGAAATATCGAATATATGAATGGTAAGTACTTACACACTAGTAGAACGAAAAGAAATGCCTAAATCCTACGGAATGCTACATGATGATTTTATTTTCGAGCTTGTTCTTGCATTAATTCGCCAGTCTGACTCAACGTCTGCGTAATTCGCTTTAGCACTGACAACGCGTGTTTATGCAAGAGTACCTTTGCAATCGAATACTACTGGTAGCTAATGAGGTACTGCCCTAGGTATAAGTACAATTTTAGTACTAACGGTAAATGTAGAAATCCACAATTATTTTATGTACATTTACGTATATCTTGCAAGACTGCATATACTCACATATTGCCTGACAATCATAATTGCTATCCAGCTTGAACTCCATTACAACGCGTTTATTGATTAACACTACTTTGTTATGAACCGGATTCTATTATGTAATAGTCTAACTACAGTATAGGCATTAAGATAATATATCAATACCCATGTATATCTAGATTGACGATAATAGACTAAGAATTTGCCAAAAACGGTATCTGGTATCCTATTAAAACAGCACTTTAGTAGGCATTAGTCACAGCATCAATTAGTACAGGTAATTAATTATTAACCAAGTAGTCATATTTCAGTGCACCGACAAAGTTAAATCACTCATTCAGGTACATTATACTGTAAATTCAACAAAATAAGACGTAGGCTATTATTCACATAATGTATTACTGATATTAATAATAAATTGATCAATGCCACTTTTATTACAACCTGTGCAATATGTACTCAATAATGACGTACCACGTACTAAAGCGATGTAAGAATGTAGTATCCAGCAACAGCCAGAGCTAAACTTATACAAATAATATATAAATTAAAGTACTACGTTCTCCGTTGCAAAGTCAGATTGCTTGTTGGTATAGTATATTTTCCTACAACGGAATAATCATTAATTGAAATATTTACAACTAATAGTTTTCTCCATTATTACGTAGCAGAAGCTAAGAAGTAGCTTTGATAGAAATTTATTGAATGCGATATATACAGCATGTGCATCTAATTATAAATTATATATATTATCGATGCCGCAATCAAGTCTAGAAATGTCTACCAGTGACGAAAAGCAAGTTGGATATGTATATAGTGAAGAGTACGTGGACTTATGTTGCAAAATGCCTCGTCTGGAAGATAGGGTACTAAGATAGGATAAGTTTGAAATTAATCATTCACATAGCTAAACACATCAAACATTCTACAGTCTTTCTGGATGACCGTCCTGCTGTCTCTTAGATTGTATCTGTGATAGTAAAATCCTAAAACGCGCTCTTAGTTTGTTTTAACTATCTAGCGTGCTGCAATTAACTGTACCAAATACCTTTAATGAAATATAGTAACAGTAGTTCACATATCATGTGCTACATGATTTCTTACTAGCCAGTGAGTTATGATTGTAAATATAGGAAGATATCGAATGGTAATCAGTTCGGACAATAATTAAGGCAGAGTGAGATTAGTACACCATACCTATACGAGTAATCAAAGTAGCTTTGATAATTCCTCTAATCTGTCACAGATGATGAAGTTAACAATTTAATTCTAAGAAGATGATGTCATGCGTAACTTTTTAAAAATTTTAATCCTGAGTTTACAAAAATATGTTTGCACTAAATGATAAGATAAGCATAATTACGACTTTTCTCCTTTCCTGTTACTGACTCCATACTGATATCGAAATTTTGATAGGCTAGACTTGTCCATCACTTAATCCAGGCTTACAATCTTGTGGATAAAATGAAGTAAGAATAGTTACCAAATCATGCTAAAATTCAATTTTACAACTTAAAGTACATCTGTACCAATTACATGCTCTATGGTTAGGCTAGTCACTACCGCTGTAAAATGTAATCAATTTTCATTTAGAGTAGCCAGGCCAAAGCCAGCTAGTATTGAAGAAATATGTGCCTTCCATTCTAGTGATTTTGTAAATACTCTACAGGCATGTCATAACTTTGACATGGAAGATGAGATCACAAGTGAAATGACAGAATATGGACTCGGTAAGAAGATAATTAATATATTAAGTGATGCGTGACAAACTATTTAAAAAATTTAAGATTGAGCTCACAATAACATCAACTCGCATTTACTGTAACAGACTCATGTTTTTTCGATGAATATTGTTGCAGGTTATGACTGTCCCCTCTTTCCCGATGTATTCAGTTACGCTTCCTTTGTAACTGGTGGAACTATTACAGCAGCTAGATTGCTAACTAGTCGCTGTTGTAGTATTGCTATTAACTGGTTTGGTGGGTGGCACCATGCTAAAAGGTAGCGTAAGTTTAAGCTAATCTTATAGTAATTTATCACCTATTTCTTCGAACTACTTAACCTTAATTGCTTGCGAAATTAACAAAAATTGCAAATTTACTAGCGTTACCTGAAGACGTTGACAGCTTTGATTTATGTCATAGGGATATGGCTTCTGGATTTTGTTATTGTAACGATGTTGTACTAGGAGTTTTGCACTTGAAAACTGTTTTCGACAAGATTTTATACATCGATCTAGATTTGCACCATGGCGATGGTAAGATACAATGCTTATCCACGTATGCACATTGCAAAAGATTTAATCACTTTATTTTTCAGGCCATGTGTAATAATGTTTCATTTAAATTTGTATGGCTAGGTGTGGAAGATGCATTCTTAATGACTGATAAAGTTTTCACCTTATCATTTCATAAATACGCTCCAGGTTTCTTTCCAGGTAATACAACTGAAAATATCCTCATACTTGAGTAAAGTAGAAAATACAATTTGTAGAATACATTTTTAATTCTTTTATTTTTTCTTGTTCATGCATAGGAACTGGTTCAATTTCTACCATTGGCAAAGGTAAAGGACAATACTACACACTAAATATTCCATTAAAAGATGGTATCACTGACCAGAAATACACAGATTTATTTCATGAGTGAGTTTAGTCACAATTACTATTGACTCTGTCTTGAAATTATGGTTGTAACTTAGCTAGACATCAGGAGCTGAGTATGTAATTTGTTGCTTTACTAAGGGTATTTACGAATGTTATGCAAGCTTTTCAACCGAATGCGGTTGTATGCCAATTTGGTGCTGATGGATTAGTAGAAGACCCGATGCGATCGTTTAATTTAACTTCCTTAAGCTTAGGCAAATGCCTTTCTGATATTCTATCCTATAATCTACCTACATTATGTTTGGGTGGAGGTAAGATTTGTATGTTGTCAGATTAAACTTATTTGAAACGCTAATCTCAATTTGTTAGAGTAAAGGAAAACTAATTTTACCTTGCTTTGTTAAGGTGGATATAACTTTACAAATACTGCAAAATGCTGGTGCTATTTAACTTCTATAATTTTAGAGCAAAAATTGGATACACAAATCCCTGAACATCAGGTTACATAAGTTAACAAGCTAATTGCCTAAAATATATGTCAATCGTTCGTATTGCCAACGCTAGTCTTGTTTAGTTCTTTGATAGATATGGACCGGACTTTGAATTATTTCTTTCTCCATCTAATCGCTCGGATACTAACGAGAGTTCTTATGTAAAAGAAATTCGTGAAAAGACGCTAGGTTGATTAAGGCTTTCCTCTTCGCCTATTGTAACCCAGACACTAACAGATTATAATGTTTTCTTAACAAACAGAGAATATCTCTCATATTGCTGAATGTTATGGAGTTTCACGTCGCCGTAAACGCAGCAAGTAAATAAAGTGGATCAATAAAGCTATACAAAATAAATGATCGTGGCTATTGACTTTTGCGTTTAAAAGAGTTTTTATAAATACTAATTTAACTTACCGATATGAAATGAACTACCGTTACGCTTACGAGTTATGAACCCTTCAGAGCTTTGCACATGATAACAATCATAACGTTGCCTTCAACTGCACTTATAATCTAAAACTTATTTTTTGATACCATAGTTTATGTTGACATCTTTTTAAAGAATGCACGTGTGTAGTCTTTTAATTGTGGTGCTAATCAAAACGTAACAGTAGTTTTTTTAAATAAACATAGTATTATCCTATATTCGCTAACAACATCCGAATAGGGTCTAGCTAAAGCACGAAGGCTGATAGACTGTATAGGCGCCTAAAATACAAGTGCAACAGTTTCACTATAAGTTAAAAGTAATTGAGAAAAGTGTGAAGTAATAGATCGGTTACCGTAAACATGTCTAGATAAATACTTGTATGATACTATTTGAACAGTTATAAATGGGCATCAAATTTGTGTCGGATACCGACTTGCAAGCGAGACACACCAATAAAATGTAACAATTGCGATAAGGTTTTTAAACAGAATCCAGAAATGTGACAGCTTTAATAAATTCAACAAAAAATATTTCCATGGAATTTTTTCTTTTTTTTTATAGTTTAAAGTAGTGAATGGTACTTTTATGTTAGAGCTTCAGATAGGGTCTTGTTACATATTGCTCTAATCATGAACGCTACGGCATAGATGCTTTATAAACTGAGACATTTGATGAGAATAAAGGCTAACCCATAATTACAGTCAGTATCAGCACTTCGGTTGCTAAATATTAGAAGTTCTAACCATTTAAAATAAACGAGTGGATCAGCACTTCATTTTAAATCTTTTCAGAGATTCTGCCTGCCATTATAATAATATGTTGAACGTTATACTGATAAGCTTATTGCCGTTACAAAAGTTTACAAATAATCGCACCGTATTCGCTCCGGAGCTAAAGCTCATTGCTCTTAGAAACTGAAAGGCTTACTAGATATTCTAAGAATTTGATTGATTAATTCATTACAAGATCGATTTATAATAATTTCTTTAATCTATTTCTGAAATTGGAAGGATTTAGAATTCATTAAGGCTCTATAATCAAAGTATTTCAGCAACTGATAATTCGGAACGCGAAGCAGTTTTCATCTCTTAGCTATAACAAGAAATGCTATCGATTGCGCTTGCTTCAGTTCTTGTTCAAATGAAATACACATGGAAATAGACACATAAGTATATAAATCACTATCTCGCAAAAATTCAGTGCTACATTAAAACACCATATATCAAAGTTAGAAAGTGATTAAATGGACGGCAAGTCAACCAGATTTTCCTAGCATAGATATTTCTACCCCAATCTCTGCAATAGTGTCATAGCACTGTAACAAGTATTAACAAACTGAATAAAAAAATCTAGCTAGAATATAATACTTGAATCATCTGATTTGAGGCAAAAAGTGCCAATAACATCTGTGAGCCTCTGAATAATTATTGTGGATCCGATTCTATTCAGAACCCATCGTATAATAAACGATTTTGTAGAATACTTAATTATAGTAGTAATGATCGTTATTTTCGTTGTTAGTGTTGCAAGTAAGTAATTTTTGAATATCTAAGTAAACACTGTAATAAACAATTTTATATACAATTCTGCTTTAATAGTAATTAAAAAATCGTAATAATCCTGACCGTGCAGTCCAAACTAAGGTACCTAAATCTTTAATTTTAATAAAATTTTATTGGAACGATTTCGAGAATCATATTTCATCAACAAGTAAAACATTGCCTAATTCAATTTACGTTCGGAATTTCCGATGTAATCTTGAATATGTTAACGTTCGTTCCTACTACTTCAAGGATCGTAAATCACAGAAATAGACATTATAAATTAATATGTAATTAATGACAAAGATATTGCTAAATATGAGATTGCAAGAAAGCTTTAAAACAATGTTATTTCCAATGATAGGCTTGATTACCCCCCCATGCTATGATTCAGGGCACCGAATATAACGTAGCAATCATCCCTATTTCCTCATAGAATAAAAGTTTGGGCTAACTCAACAATAAGAAATAACGTAAACTAAAACGATAACAACAAAAGTCTTGTTTATTGTTGACAAAAAATCAGTCACTAATTCGATTAAATTAAAATCTAAATTCAATAGAAATTGAGTAACCTCATGAAATATATCGATCATATAATATAACTTTCAAAGTCCGATAGATAAAAACAAATCGAAGTTATTTAATTTCATCTCATTCCTTTATACTGATAACATATGGAAGAGGGTTTTCTCTCGCACACATTTATCCTGCTTTCGTGCAAGTTTAATTAGTATATCTTTAGATTATTGCAATTAGCAAGCACCTTAGCGTTTTTGCTAGCACAAAACACTACGATAGATCTGCAATCTCATATTAGAAGTCTACTCATCATTTCACTACAAAATATATAACTTAGACTGACCGAATGATCGCGTCTATTTTGATAATTTATGGAGTTGTCTGGCAGGCTACATCAAATTTAAGCTGTAATTAAATCAGATGGGATACACACTTATTTCAACCTCCAACCGGTAGAATAACAGCTGATTAAATTGAAATCTAAAGCTAATTCAGTTTTATAGGGTCATCGACTTTACAGTAGCTGTTGCTTTTGAATTTCAGTATAAATTTTACCTATGCATTGTTTTGATATATGGAGATGTATAGAAAAGAATAGGTAGTAAAAGTCGCTTTTCGCAAAATTAATTATTAGGTAAGTGAGTGTACTGTATGACAATCCATTAATATACAATATTAAAGATAGCTACTCTTTGGAGCGCTTTTGTGTTTGAAACAAGCAGCTGCTTAAGGAATAATTTAATATACTCCTATGCATACATACTGAAAATAATAGGTTGAAAGTATTAAATTTAAGATTTATTGAAAATATGTTAGCTATTACAGCACGGTCTAATCTTCTATTATGCGTTATTAAACTTTGTCATTTCATTATTAGTGCAATAGGCGGTCTTATATTATCTGTACTTAGCCGACAAAAAGGTTACTATCTACGTTTCTTATCAATAAAAGCATTAATATCAAAATAGTTAAGTCTAGTTTAATGCCTCTATCTCCAATTAAGTTTCTCCACTGCCCTTTGACCACAACAACATCTTAAGAAAGAAGCATTAAATACGAGATTTGAATTAATCATAATAACTTCTATTATTTAATTTTTCATTAATGCTTTCTAAAAATATTGACGAGTCTGACTTTTCGATCATTATTCTGCTATTTAGATCATCTGAAATTATTATATGAAGCTCAGCAGGAATATGCAATACATCTACAGCAACAAAAGAGGTTATAATTTTGCATGCTCTTTCTTGTCTTTGCTAAAGAGAACACATATAACAATAGCGGTACATGTTATTCCCTACAGAATAAAAAGCATTGCCGTTCAGATTACGTCTACGATGAAAATCAAGCTTATTTAATGATTTATGATAACCTGCTCAGCATTGAAAAGCCATTGCCTTGTATATAGACTACCTCAAGGAATTTTCTTAAGCCAAGTGGCATGACATATTACAAGAAAGTAGATCGCGTATTGATTTCCCAAACGAATAACCGAAAATTTACTGATACCCTAAATCTGCATACTATGATTGACTATTTAGATCATAATAATGCAGTAATCTCTGAATAGCTGATAACAATGTATAATACAGACCCTAGTTCTCTGATATCTCTAATGTACATCAACTGACTCAATATTTTACTCCTGGCACTGCCCATTTTACAATATGAATAATTAATTGCGTCGTAAACAGTAATACGTACGACATTCAAATTAATTCTATCCTAGTGAATAACTGTACTCTATTATCACAATTTATCTGTAATTAAGTATACGCGAACTACGACTGAAAGTAGCTACCCAATAAGAATACAAGATGGGACAAGAATAGATGGAAAGGTATGGAAAAGAGATAATTACCCAGCAACCTTTCGACAACATATAGCTATCGAACTAGCTGAGCTGCCTAACTTAATCAATACAATTGCACTTCCAACTTTTCTTATTATAAATCAAATATGTGTAAAATCTGAACGGCTTAATAAACAATTAAGCCAAATTGCTGTCATCATCTATTTCCCTGGTGTTACAAACTAATATTTGTGACTAGAAAACATTAGGAGATCATAGCAGTAGCAGTTACGGTATGATCCTAATTAACTTTTCGTCAAATGTTTTATAACCCTATGTCACTAGGTATACAGTATACGATCGCATACCTAAGCAGTTACAGCTCGCCACGATAAAATCTGTTAACTCATGAGCGAGTAATCAATAAAATTTCAGACTTGAACTAAATGATGCAGTGTTTACCATCCGTACTTATTAGTTACGATATGCATAGTAATAAACAGAATGCATGTAGCCCATCATTAATTATTTGATTGCGTTATAAAATATCAATTTATAAAAGTAAGCTCGCTTAATCTCGTTTCCTAATAATTCCGTATATCATTAAAAGCTTTACTGCATTTTCCAATTTATTTTCAACTTATATCTCGGACTTGTCAATTTCTACTATTTTACGACTTTATGTCAAGCTTCTCTCAAGAATACTAACACAATTACTATCAATAAAAATAAGAAGTAGCTCTACATTTCAAAAGAATTATCAATAATTCCCTAATGAAATAATCTTAGTATACGTAATTGTCAACGCTATTTTGAACACAAATTGACCGTATCATAGGCAACGCAGTGGGAATATTTCTTCTTTCCCTGAGGAATAGAAAGATTCCCTTAGCATCGTCTGAAATT